TATGTGTACATACTGTATATTCACCATTCGATTGAAAGAGATCGTTAATTTAAGCGTCTTTTCGGCCGAAAGTGCTGCCTTTTTTATTTAGAATCTAAGGGTGTGGGTGTGGGCGTGGGTGTGGGTGTGGATGTGGGTATGTGGGTGTGGGGTGTAGGTGTGGGTGAAGAGAAGATCAACACCCACACCCCAAAATATTATCTAACTTCGATCTTTCCGTTGCATTTTCTTATCATAAATGCTCAACTAATGTTTTAATATTGATAAAAATTGGTTTTTACTATCAATATGTTATTCATTGATATCATCCTTGATAGTGGATATTGTAATTTGTAACTTGAATTTTAGGACAGTGATAAACCATAATGTGTATTTCATGAAACCTGATAGACTTAGTGGATAAATAGCATTAACATACTTATCAGAAACCAACTCAGAAAATCCTACAAGATCTCGATATTCTGAGAACAGAAGGTTAGTTTGGGAAGTTCGATATCTTTGTCTTTGTCTTTCTTCAAAGGAATAAAAGCTAAAGTATGAATGTTATTACACTTACCAATTCTTTGAAATTCGATTTATGATGGCTCTATATACAACAGATATAGAGAAGCATGCATGAAAAAAAGCTTGTTAGCGCAGCTCCTTTGGACCTGAAATGTGGAACTCACATATATCTTTAAACCTTAATATTCTAATACATCGTAGGTAAACTGAAAAATTTCTTGTACACTGTAGTTGTTTTCATTGATAATCAATGACTAGAACGAGACATCCTTATTTATTTCTACATTTAAAACAGGAAGTTTTTCTTTTGTTTGAGAGCGCCCAGTGTTTTATCCAGAGGGGTGCCCGGGGGGGCCGCGCCCCCCCCCCCCCGAAAATAATTTTTCGCCCCCCCCGAAATTCCAAATCGCCCCTCCGGAGAAAAAATCCTGGATAAAACACTGAGAGCGCCCTATTTTTATTTTGCATTGTTGCTATTCGCTCATTATCTTTTATGTTTTTAAAATCATTTTTCTTAATTTAACATTCTCATTATTATAATCAGTGAATTAATTGACAAACATGTCTGTTTTACATATCCATTATATCTACAGCAGATCTGATGCACTATTATATATATTAATCAACTCACAAAAAATGATGTTGATTATCTTTCAAAATTACAGCTTGATCAATTTTTCAATAAAACTAGAAAGTCTGACGCCTGTTATTCTTAATTACTAAGGTCTGTAATGGAAACCTGTCTGTGATGGGGGGTATGTCTTTAATGGCGGGATGTCTGTAATGGGGGATTGTCTGTAATGGGAGGCTGTCTGTAATGGAGGTATGTCTGTAATGTTCTCTTTCTCCGTTGCTAAGTGTCTGTAATGGAGAGAGGGGGAGGGAGGGGGAGGGGGGGAGCCGCCAAAACTTGAACTGAAAACTTACACTCACTATTTTCTTCGAAAATATATGTGAGTTCCACAAAAACTCTTTGTCATCATTATAAACATTGTAAATATAGAATAATATCTAAAGCTATTGTCCAAAAAAAGCTTATTAATAGCTTATCAGCTTTTAAGTGTTTTCTTGGATGTCGCTTACTAATAGGGGGCGCGAAGGAAAACAGTAAAAGTATGCTATGTACCGTCTTTGTGTTTCTAACAGACAAAACTGGTACGTTAACTATGAGACAATGAATCTTAGGTCTATCACTAGTTGGTAATGTGCGGTTCATGTTGATCTCACGCTGATAAATCAGATATAGTTTCATAGAATTACCATCTTTCGATCGTCTCTTTAATGGTCAAATTTTGAATGGTTAAGTTCTGTCGGTGTGGGTGTGAGTGTAACTCCTCTTTTATTTCCTACCGAAACCCATACCCACACCCACACACCCACCCACACCCACACCCATACCCATACCCATACCCATACCCACACCTAACGACACCCACACCCATCTCCCATGGGAGACGCGGCACCCACATCCGGGAGATGCAGTCACCCGCCACTGGAGATGTATCATCTCCTTTAGAGATGCACATCCCCCCTCACAAGAAATGCCGTGTCTCCCGCGGGAGATGCGGCATCTCCATAGGGAGATGTGGGTGCATCTCCAAAATCCGGGATATGTGACACTGCTGGTCTGTGTTATTTTCTTAAATTTAAATACCTTCATTTTAGCGACATTTTTCATAATTCTTGTTTTCTCAGTAATTCATATTTGTATTCTCGTGAAACAGCTAGGCTTGGTATGCCTTCTTCAATTCATAGATGTAGTCTCTGAGAAACGTCATTAATAGAAAAAAGGACCCAGATTTTTTTCTGAATGATAAAGTATTCCAGCTGTCTATGTTCTATACATATATAGTTTATTAACTTGATGAATGCTTCATTTGATCATCTCATTTCGACTGAAATACTTTCCTTGCCTATTGTAGACGATAGTTTTCTGATTTCATCTAATTATCATCATACTATTGGCTCATAAAAAAACACACAGTTCGCGACAGGTAGACCAGGAATATGAATGAGAAGCACATACAGACTGAAGAAGCCCATAGTCTGTAAGCATCATATGTAAGTCATATTTGGTTATAGCACTGGCACTGATGTTATGTGGGTAGAGCAAAGAAAAAGATGCCTTTTCGTTTAACATCAGAGTGTATCATTACTAACGCTAACAGAGTCTGTCATGGGCAGGCCAGATCTACAAAGCATATATGTTGGATATCTAGCGTGACAGTATTTAATCATAGAGTTTATTATCGATCACGAGCATTCAACTTCATCTGCTTGGTTAATGAAAATATGAGTTACGATATGTGAGGAACATGATGACGTAGTAGTTAATAAAAAATCTTATGTCAGTGTTCAGTTTTGATTGTTCTTTTTTCGACTGTTTTCTCGGTAGTTTTCTTTTCGTGAATAGACATTTGAACAAGCATGGTAATATTTAATGACGAAAGATATAGATCTAAAAGAAATATTATTTTGCAGCTCTGCATTCTTTTCTCTACAACAACTACTGTTCGAATGCTTTTCACTACATGAGAAAACTACAGAGGAGTCCGAAAGTTTCGAAGATCAATACGATACAGATCAAAGGTCTTTTCCATACATAGATATTGTCTCGCTCGAATTCACAGTGTATTCTAGAAGAAAATAATAATAGATAATAAATATGTACCTGCTGTTCGAAGAAAAAAAGTTCTCAAATCATGTCAAACTCGTAATTTTCATGACACATATCCGAAAACTAGTTTGAAAACGAACTTGTATACGACATTCCTATTTCTGAAGAAAGCCCGATGAATTAGGACTGCAACAAATCCAGAGTCTTGTCATTTGCTATACAAAAGCTTATATTTGATCTACACTAAGATTTGGACTCAATTTTGAGGTTGGATCGAACCTTCAATAACCCAAATCCAGTTAGGCTCTGTAAGACAAAATATTAGAAAGATCATATGAATCTGAAGCTGCCAAAGTTGATACGAAAATGCTTTAGTATTTAGGATTTGGGTGTGGGTTTGAAATTTGTAAAACTAATAGAGGTAGTATAACATTTGAAAACTTAAATATACAGAGTGTGAGTGCTGATGTAAGTGGTAGGTGGATGGAATCTGGATATGAGTATGTAAGTAGCTGTGAATGGATTAAAAGAAGTACAACACCTACACCCAAAATAAGTTCACCATAAAAAAAAACACAAACCTGCGAGAGATGAACTACTGTCATTAAAATTACGTAGGCTCAGTGTCACTCCTAGGATTATTGAAACAATGATAATGACAGCCATAACTGCTACGACTATGGTAGTAAAAATACAACACTTTTGACAGTAACATTTACTGCAACATTTAGAATGTTGCGGCGATGGTGTTGACTTTCTTGAAGGTAGCGTGCATTGATGATGTAATCCTTCTGGTACGGAATATGTTTCCATCGCGTCTATTTCTGACATGTTAGGTAGATTAAACGATTGTCCCATGTATGGATGAGGCATTTCGAAGTTGTTCTCGTGATCCAAATTATGTTGGTTCAACACAGTGTCAGCAGTAACATCGTCAACGCTTAATGCTTCTCCTGGAAACAGGTTTCCACAACCGTTAGTGAAAGATTGCGTAGTTTGCCTATAGTCGTACATGGATCTGCCATTATCAGCGACATAAACGTAGAAAGGTTGGAATGGATTCGATTTAGTACGAATATCATAAGACTCTTGTGCCATCAAGTCATCGATTCAAATCAAACTGGAACTTCAACCCCCTCCCCTAATGTTACTTAAACGCTGAAAGTTAAGAATAATGGAAGCTTACGGCTTGCTTTCTATAGTTGTGAATAAAATTTTTCTATCTGAGAAATCACTGCCACTTGCAACACCACGCGTAGTTACTTCAGAAAGTAGCACTGATGGAGACGGCAAGCTCGTAAATTTATTTCGACACTGTTTTTTTTCTTCTCTATCGTTCTTTTTTTTCCATTCTAGCGTTTGTGCAACAATATTTACATGCAAATACTTATAATGGCGCACCAGTGGCAAGACGAGGTCAGCGATGCTTGCATTAAAGGTAAACAGTGACTGTTTCGCGTAAAAAATCGGACGAAACACACATAGGAATGAAAAAGAAGGCTAGGTATGCTACATATTTTAACAAACACAATACAATCAGCGACGCCATACTTGTGAGAAATAACTTAGGTGGAGATGAACGGAGAAAAGTTGTGTTTGGAACGACAGAACGACCAGAAATGCGTTCGATATCATTCGTTCGTTCAGACCGCGTTCGTAGTGTTCGCGTCGCCAGTATAGAGGCTGACGATAATACTTTATGGAATGACAACAGTGAGAAATAAAGCGCGATGTAGGGTGTGGGTATGGATATTAATTTCATCAGATCATGCGCACCCACACCCACACAAACACACCCAAAATTACAGCACACTCTTTCTGGATGTATTTGTAATTTTTCTGAAAACTTTTCGTTGTTTAGAATGAAATTTCAATACAACTATTCATCATGATCGCTAGATAAAAGAGAAATATTTTGATAAATTATAGCATATGCAGGATGATTAGGTGGTAACGACTTCCTGTAGATATGAAGAGCTTTCTCATAATTTTCTTTGCCTTGTTCATGATCACCCATTTTTCTGTAAACTTCTCCAATATTGTTATATGTAGTACCGACTGAACTGTGCTCTGATGTTAGTAAGGTAATTTTTATTTGCAATGCATGGTGCAAATGTTCTAGTGCCATATGATAATTTTTACTAATTTGATGTGCACGTGCAAGGCTTGTGTGAGCATTCGCTATGTTCAAATGATTTGGAAAATTCTTGGAGAAAAAATCCAGCATTTTCTGATAATTTTCCAATGCAATTGAAATATGACCATATTCAAAGCATGTATTTCCAATGATGTCGAAAGCTCGTTCGATCTCTAAACAGTCATCGTGGCGGTGTTCCAATCTGATTGTAAGTGCTTTAATATAATTTTCAAGTGCTAGATCAATATTATTTTCTTGCTTGTGAGCATCTGCTATCTGATTATACGTTGTTAAAAGTTGTGAATAATTTATATTCTGAGCCGTTAAACAAAACTCGATCGCTTTTCCGTAATTAATAATAGCTAGTTGGTAATTTTTCATTGTATGATAGACACTACCGATATTATGATAGGTAATAAAAGTTGATGAATGATTAGATTTTAATTGAATTTCGAGAGCACATTCCAGATTTGTCAACGCTTCTTCATAATTCTTCTCATCAATATGTATACAACCGATGTTACTGTAGGTTGCCGCTGTTTCGGGATGGTGAGAATGCAAACTATTGAGCTGAATATTTAGTGCTTTGGTGAAGTATTCTAAGGCTATTTTATAACTTTTTTTACGATAATAGTGTGTGCCAATATTGTTAAATGTGAGTGCTAAATCAGAATGTGTAGGAGGTAGAAATTTTTCTTGAATATCAAGTGCTTTCTGATAATTTTGAAGTGCAAGTTCATAATTTGTGTTTGCTTCATAAGCCAAACCCATATTATTGTAAATAGTTGCTGTATGTGGATGGTAAGCTGATGCTTCTGATGACCATGCTTGAAGCGCTCTTTGATAGAATTTTAGAGCGTTATCAATATCGCCTACGCAACGCAAAACTTCACCAATGTTGCCAAAAAGCGAAGCGCATGATGAGACTGGCAATGGATAATATTTTGCTCTGATAGATAATGCCATTTCATAATTATACATTGCTTGTTGACAATCTCCCATCTTAAAGTAGCAGGATCCTATATTGGTGTATGTATAAGCATAATCCAAATCATTTACAGGTAGTGTCGTTGCATAAATGACAAGTGCTTGTTGGTAGTTTTTCAATGCTCTTTTCAAGTCACCTTTTTTGTCATAGCAAATGCCAATATTATTATAAACTGATCCGATTTCGGGATGCATGGTTGGGAGCTCTTTCAATAAGAGTCTATAGTACTGTTCAGCTTTATCAACTTCACCCATATTCATTAAAAGAACTCCAAAAGTAAATAGTGTTGGATGTGTTGCAATTTCTTGTTTAAAAAAGTCACTGAGTACTGTGAACTTTTCATCTGTATGATTAGCCAATGTTAATTTTATATACCATAATGTATCCGTGTATTTATCGACTTCGTCAACGTGGAATATTGTTCCAGGAAACAGCAGTATTTCATTTTCGCCTTTAATAAAACTGAAATCTTTCACATCGGCAAATGGCCTTGTAGGTATAGTCGAGTCGATTAATATTTCTAACAATACCGATTCAAAACACATATGACCCAGGCCAGTGCCGGCGAACCCACATGCCACATCAGACGATATACTTGTTGAAAAAAAGGTATTTATAGAAATCAATTCTCCGATATTTTCTTGAAACATGAGTAACTCATCAACTGTCATCCACTGTCCTCGGTAGACAATAAGCAATTTTTCAGTGTCGGTTATTGTAGACATCGACTTCGAATGTAGAGTTTTTAATTGGTTATAAAGATCAGCAATGAAAAGTCGATACTTGAAAACTAAATTAATGTTACGTGTTCGAAATGCTTTATTCAAAATACGATAGAGAAAACAGTCCCTAGTGTACCAAGTGATTGCATTATTAGGGATATAATTATCATCGAAGTCGTCGATTTTTTTGAGCTCCGGAACATTATTTTTATATTGTGATCTGCATTCGTTTATCATATCTTTTTTTGCTGTGCTTGTTTCCCTGACTGGCAGAGAAATTAGTAGCTCGATTAGTAAATTGAACCACATATATGTTGCTAGTTCTTTATTGAGAATTTGTGTCGTTTTTTCCGTTAATAATTTTTCCCCAGCGTTTTTTAAAACACTTATTGACGTTAGATTATTGCTATAGAAAGTTACATCGTTGTTCAGTTTTTCTATTAGAAGGTCATCGTTTACAAAAATACCGCCGATTTTTGTATAACTCTCTGTCCACTTTTTATGTTTTGTTGCGTCCGAACAAAATATATAGATGACTAACACTTGTGATAAGTCATGAACATGTGTAACTACGCCTTCTCCGTCAGATCCAGATGTAATTAAAAAGACTTTTTCGTTACCGACGGATCTTATATAATTAATACATTCGTCAGCGTTGCTATAGAGGCTTAAATAGTTCACAATAGAGCGCAAATGCATGTTTCTCTGTGAAGTATTTTCATTATTAACATCCATCCAGACGATAGAAAAGTCTTCTAGATTGTTTTCATTCTCGATCAAGTGCAATGCTTCACTGTTTGTAATTGATGGTGTCTTGCTCGACAGGCCAGGAAGTTCGATAAGCGTGTGTGATTGTAAACTTGGATTATCCATATGTCTTTCAATAGTTTTTTTTTGTTTTAAATGACACGAAAACTACTATTAATTATTGAATGCAATGATTATTAATAGAATCTAAAGAATGCAAGCAAAATTCTAATGGATAGAACAGATAAATTAATTAACTAGAACGTAGAGAAGGAAGCGTGTCAATGTAATTTCTACAAACTTCATATGTGAAGCATAAAGGAATGCCTTTAGTCTTAAAAGAGAAATTCTATCATATTTGTCGAGTTTTCTGATGGAGGTGACTGTCATGATTTCGAAAAATGTTTTCACAGTGTGTGGCAAGTATGTTTGATAGACTTTTAGACACATTTCAAAGTCTATGGGACAAACTGGAAGATTTAATTTTCGCTGTATATATTTTAATAGTCATGAATAACTGTGTTGCATAAATGTTGATTATGTTAAAGAATACCTGAGCCACCAACTATTTCAGTTTCACAGCTTGTATTTTGTAACACATGTTTTGCACTAATAGAGACGAATTCGAATAACAAAATTCCATGTGCATAAGAAGTTTGACTGTGAGAAGAAAAAGAATCTGAATTCTGTTCGTTACATATATTTACCTTTTGATTTCGCCATCATCGCATGACATTGAATCGAAAAAAGCAGAGAAAATATGTTGCGCATTTGAAACAATGCATTTGCCTATTTTTTCCGTTCTCGTCAACTTACGAGAAAGTCGCACATGTGAAAAGAGAACATCAAAAAATGCATATACCATCTCATGCAGTCAACATTTAGGGATGAGCGTGGGTAAAGATGTGGAGTGTGTGTGACGTGTGTATGGGTGTGGGTGTCGGGTATGGATTTGATTATTGGTACTGGTAGCCGTACATGAGAAGTACACACGTACCCGCATCCATACTCATATTTACGTCCACACCCTTTCTTTTTATCATCTGCAACTTTTTACATTTAATTGCATTTCAGTTTAATGTACTTATGCATTTCACAACGTCCTAGTTTCGACTAGATTTCAATAAAAACCATGCATTTACTTAATATAAATATATAAGATCAGTTCTTTATCCTTATCTTACTTTTTTCATTGGGTGTGGGTGTTGTCTCTTTCCACCCACAACCTTTTTAAAATCAAAGTATGAAACATATTTGATCGATCTATATTAATTATATTAAATTCACATGAATAGAAATTCTCTTATTACTGATACAAATATGTTAATTATCGCAATTAAAATGAGTTTCTTTTAATTCAAAAAAATATTATTTAATTATAAATAGAATTAGTGTTCAATTTTCTACAAATTATTTCTTCGTTTTGATGAAGGACTTATTGTGACTCATAAAAATAAATGTGATGAATTTTAGAGAAGCTTGTACGAAATTCTTTAGGCATCAATATATTAAATAATACGTTATTTATTCAATGATAATAAAATAAAGTTTTATTTCTTTAAATTTTTGACTGATGACTTTTTGTCATTCAAGAATGATCCAGCAGCAAGAGAAAAACTTTTATGATCTTTATTTATCAGAATATGATTATACAAGAAGTATGATTTTTCTTTGCTAAAGGAGTTATATTGATGAATCTTAATAAACATTTATATCATGAACATTATACAGAAGTCTATTATTCATAAGATGAATAGGAAAAATCAGGAATTTATTAGTTTAATACAGCTCAATTTAATTCAAGTTATATACAGGTGTTATAGGAAACTTATATAGAGAAACAATTTTTTGAATTTGTTCGATTTGTTAAAAAAGCATTGTACAACTTAATATTATCATGAAGTTTTAATCTTTCTTTCTAAAGAGATTCTTTGCCAAATTTTGTTGTATATTAATTAGCAAAAAATAAATATTTGATAGTGTTATTAAACAAAATAGATAGACATTTATAAAGAAAAACACAGGAAGTAATATGAAATGTCCTATTGAATGAATTTGTTTCTTTGATGAAGAAATGCATCCAATTGTCAATCAGAACATGAACAATAGATTTGTACATATCCATCAATAGCTGATCTTATTTGTGAAAATTATTATAGAATCTTTTGTATGTTCTATTTCGATAGATCTTATTATATATAAGAAGGTCAAAAAAAGTGAGCTTCAAAGTGCGTAAACTTCAACTTTGGAGCTCACCTTTGCATCCAGATTGTATGAAATAATTCTTAAAACTACTGAACCGTCCTAAAAGTTTTGTCCAAAAATAGAACTAAAGTACTCACAACCCGAAAGTACCATTCCCAAAACAGAACAAAGGTACTAACTACCCAGAAGTATCATTCCCAAAACGGAACAAAATTACTCACTACGTGGAAGTGTCATTCCCATAACGGGACACAATTACTCACAACCCAGAAGTATCATTCCTAAAACAGAGCAAAAGTACTCACAATCCGAAAGTGTCATTCCCAAAAAGAAACAATTGTGCCGTTTTGGGAATGATGCTTCCCGGTAGTGAGTACTTATGGTCTGTTTTGGGATAAGACCTTTCTCGGACAGTTCAGTCGTTTTAAGAATTAATTGTTAAAATATGGATGCGTAAGTGAGCTCCAAATTTGTGGTTTACGTGTGGAGCTCACATTTTTTGACGATATAAGGACATAAATTGTGACAGCAAAATGTACATATAACGAGTGTGGCGCTATAGAGAGGATCTACTCATAGACCTCAGATCTATATTCGATTGGATATAATATCTATTTGATGCACCTTTGTGTTTTGTCAGTCAATATAAGTATAATTCTATGAAGATATTGTTATCGTGCTGTCAGTTTGAATGTTTTATTAACCGTCGTAGAAAAAATATGATTCCGATCAACAAAACATAAAATGAAACTCAAAGTAGTAAAAAATCTAATACAATCCCATTTGCTAATCTTATAGTTTTTTTTTTAAGAAAAATCGTATATAAAGAGTGCATTATAAACTGAGATAAAAAATACACTTAGTTCTATTACTTTTTTTTGTATTGCTGATGATTCATAAAAAATTTCAATTATATTCATGAAATTTCAGAACTATTTAGTTTAATTTGTTCTTCATGATCGAGATAAATATGAAAATTTATTTATGTTAATCTATTGTAATGTGAATATAATATGGTGTTTACATTTAAATCAACTTTTAATGTCAAATACTATCGAAATTAAGTTTTACTTAATAAAGCACTAGATTCCATAAGCAGTTGGAGAGTAAGAACACTTTAGTTTATATTGAATTTTCTTTCGATATAATAATGGTCAATAGAAACGAGAATGATTTTATTTATGAAAATATATAGAAAACATGTGTCAAAAATCAATTTTACCATCATAAATACAATTTTTTTTGAACAAATTTAATTGAATAATTATTTAGAAGTTTTTTCGAATCAATTGTAGTCTTCAATGTTTTGTACATTTTTATATTTGCATTCTGAAGATATAATGAGCATAAATGACGCGTATTCATTAATAGTGATTCAATAGTGGCTACACTATAATCACTTGTTATATTTAATGTCATATGTTTGAGTCGAGGACATAAAATAATAAATAGTTCAATTTGGTCCAATGATGGATTATCAAAAATAGTTAAACTTGTAATCTTGTTAACATTAGATACTAACTGAAAAGATTCATTTCGTTTTATTGCGTTTACACTTGTCTTGTAATAAGGTATAGAACGAAATTTTAATGTTTGAATATTAGGTACAAAACGTAACAGTTCAATCAGTTCATCAAAGGAATTTTCCTCCCACTTTATAGTTAGATTAGTTAATTTTGTTGAAATAATCAATCGATTGAGGATAGTAGTAAGTCCAAAATTAATTTTACACGAGAGAATGAGTTCAGTGGCATTTGGAAATTGAATTTGATACATGTCCATCACCTTTCTATTGTGAATATGAACATAATGAACTAAATCACAAATAGCTTCTTTATGATATAGACACTTGGTCTTATCTAATAATTCTCGGATTATATAATGTTTCCGTCTAAAACGAAAAAAAAACAAATGTAACTAATATCAGCGCCAAAATCTAAAGCAGATGGTTGTTTCTTGAATAACTTTTACATAGGAAAAAGATAGAGACCTACGGTATTCAGCTTTTGACAACCAAGATCCAAGGGCATCTTTTCTCAAGTAGCCTTTCAAAACTGGTTTATCAGAGAATCTCTGGAAAAAACTACGCTGAATTTCCGAAAATTACTATGCAAGTCGATTGATTTTTTTTTACATATTCATAATCAGCATAAAAAACCGAGTAGATCCATGTGAAATTCGAACGTTTTCGAGAACACTGTTTTTCGTCGCGAAATTAGCGCTAAGCGCGGTGTCTCAAAAAATAAAGTCGGTGAAAATGCTGTTTTTTATTGTTTAATCATTCAATATTTTGCGTTTTAATATCATTTTACCAAGTTCGAAGTTGTTTCGAACCGCTCAAGTGACTTTTTGATCCATTTTAGTTCTCCAAGCCAGTGTTGCCAGATGTGAAGCTCAAAAATCTGAAAATTTTTTTTCGAAATTCGAAAAAAAACTTTTGGGGTCGTTTCTTATTACTAAAAGTGAATTTTTCTTAACCAAGTTATCAGCAACGCTGTTCTTTATCCCTACAAAATATATTTAAATGAAATAAAAGAAAATATATATCAAAATACTGTTAATTTAATGAAAAATGAAAGAGAAACTATCAATTAAATATTGAATTTCACTGTTTATCTATAAATTGTATTTTGTAGAACATTTTTCATTAAAATAAGTTTGAATACTTCTGATGTTGATCAAAGAAAATCATAAATTTCTTTTCATGATAAAGAGGAATTTAAACGAATTTTTAATTGAGCTGTAATGAGTACTGTTGGGATACGATCTCGCTGATCATCAAAAAAATGTTTCTTATTGAAAAAACCACTTTCAACATAACCATTACGTTACATAATTGAGAATGAAAAAGAAATGAATTTGAGTAGGTTTAACATATAAATACATTATCCAAATGCAAAACTTCTATTCAGTTCGTAATGATTGATTTAGAGCGTTAAATAAAATTGAACTAAAGTGTCCGAAATCCGGAAGATCTGGCAACTCTGCTTCAAGCTCTTTAGGGCTTAATTTTTAGACAAAAACGTTCGAATTTGACATGGATCTTCTTAGTTTTTTATGCTGATTATGAATATGTAAAAAAAATCAATAGACTTACATAGTAATTTTTGGAAATTCAGCGCCATTTTCTAGAGATCCTCTAATAAACCGTTTTTGAAAGGACGCTTGAAAAAAGATGTTGCTGAATCCTAGCTATCAAACGCAGGCCTCTATTGTTTTCCTATGAAAATTTATTCAAGAAACAGTCATCTGTTTTAGATTTTGGCGCTGATATTAGTTCATATAAAGAAATTGACATATCTCTACCTGTAAGGATTGATGGAATAGAAAATTGTAGCTGCCATACATCCTTGCTCATAATGCTGATGTGTAAAGAACCATCGTCGTTCGAACCAAAATGAAGAGTTAAATTGATTGATGAGTTCATGAAACTCAAAGTCATAACGATATAAATTGGACGTCCACTCCTTATACTCAAAATCAAAGATATGCAAACAAGGCATAGAAGTTGAAATCAATGTTTGCCATGTTTTAGCATTCATATATCTACTATCATTTATCGTAGAAATACGTAATAATTGAATTTGATGAAACGATTGTATAAGTAAGGATTTAAACAGATCAAAATTTATACTTTTAAATCGAAGTGAAACATGTGTTAAATTAGTTGGTAATATCAGCTCTTTTGATCGTACTTTGATATGTCCATCTATAGAATGGCAGCATAAACGACGAAGTTGAGGAACATAGGTTAAAATAGCATTGAATTCATAAAACTCGAGGGAATTATTGATAATCAAATGTTCTATAGTGCTGTATTGATTGACAGAAGGCAAGAGTGTTATAGATTTCGGATTTTGTTCAGAGAATAATTTGCAATATTTTAATACCGGTAAGGAAAAAACTAGACGATAAAAGACAGTTGTATCTCGCATATAATCATCAAGAATAATACTTAATGAAAAGAGTCGAGGTAATACAAATAAACGTTTAAGAATATTTTCAACATCTTTTGATTTAAGATTATTAATAATAAGTGTTTCAAGTTGATCAAATTTTGACAAAATACGAGATTTAAACATAAAACTAACAATGAATGGATTCGATAAACAAATTAACTTAAATCGATGTTTATTTCGTTTGATAATATCATTATAATATCGTTGAAAGGTTGATTTAGACATGAGTGACGTATCGATTTTAAGAGGAAGAATTGAATGAATAAGAAGATTTTCAAATCGTGAATTAAGATTCGAAAAAGCTTCGTACAAATCGTAACCATTGAGAAATTCGAAGATTTCATAGATAAGATCATTTGAAAGATCTTCAAAATGTGTCAACATTGATCTATAGAAACAATAATAAAAAAAACCAATGCAATGTGCGATCGAAAAGTTTTTGGATAACATGATGAAATGTGAAACATATATATATATATAACGGATGGTACAAAAGTTTCCCGACACAATGTTTGTCGATTTCTCGCTCATTAGATAATACTCTAGATGAATTCAAAAAGATGTGTAAGAACCAGAATTTTGTGCTCTATCTAAATATGAATTCAGAAATTCGGTATCTACTTTTGTTTGTGAGCAGTGAGAAAATCTTTGAAAGATATAAAAAAATTAGTTTGGACGAAATGATTGAGTCAAAGTTTGTAGACAGTATTTGCCTTATTTTTGATCTATTTAGAAGTATTGTAGATGAATGAAAAACTATAGGTTATTATCAGAATTGTGTGTCTTTTCCTATACGGCTTCAAAAGTTTTGTGTTTGGTTTTATACGAGAATGATGAGAGACTCTTTGAATATGCCATAAAAGTGGTTTGGTTAACAAATAGATAGACATTTACTTCTTCTATAACTCTCAGTGTGACGATGTTAAAAACAATTAAATATGGTTGTTTTGTAGAGTGAACAGTATTCTACAAAATGAAACGTCGAACTCCAAGATAGCTTTTTTTACACGTGAATGTCTAAACATTTCTTGAGAAGCTATTTCTATATGAGATGGATTTAGATTAAAAAATAGTTTTTTTTCCAAAAATTAGGATAATAAGAAAATAAAAATTTAGATACTCTATAGGAAAAAAAAGACTGAAATAGTGAATTTTGTAGGGTGGAATTTTTTCTACCATCCGATGTATGAATTGAAGTTTCAAAGTTGAGTTTCGAACTCCAGTAGTGAAAACATAAAAATGTATGAAAAATATTTCCGTCCAAACTAATTTTTTTATACCTTTCAAAGATTCTCTCACTGCTCACAAACAACAATAGATACCGGATTTCTGAATTCATCTAGAGTGTTATCTAATAGGCGAAAAATCAACAAACATTTTGTCCGGAAACTTTCGCACCATCCGTTATAAACAACTGAAAATACTTTTTCTTACTATCTAGATAACTTGTCGTGTTCTCTATCTTTCATATTAATTTGACATTTTTCGATTGATCTATTGTTGTCAAAATAATTCGAAAAAAAAGTGATATAGTAAAACATCTTATGTAAGAAGGTTTTAAAAGATCAACAATTTATAATATAATAAAACATTATGATATTTATCAATCATTCGAAAGCCGTCCAACACATTTTGATAAGAAAAAGCTGAAGCGTCTGCAATAAAAGATGTATCTTTTGCTGTAATCTAGCGTCTTATATTTCGAAATTTTTTTGGTATTTCTTCGAGTTATTTTTGCGTATATTTTAGTGCCTTGTGACACTTATATTATTTAAGACCAATTTTCTTCAAATGATAGTGAGGGTGTGGGTGTGGGTGTGGGTGTGGGTGTGGGGTGTGGGTGTGGAA